AGGCAAAAAGAACCAAATGTACAATGCTACAGAGGTCTAATCAGAACATGGCATTTTTGGAACTGCAAGAATTCCACTTGGTTATTTGAAATGGTACACAGAGAACAAACAAGGAGTGGTGAGATTAACCTAAAAATGTAGAAAGTAAAAAGCTTTTTTGGCATAATCTGTTAAGGAGAAATCTGTGCTTTTTCCATCAGCCCAGCATTTCTCAAACTGAGGTTCAAGAATGATATATTTTTAAGGGACTTCAAGTATTGTAAGTTAAAAATTTAATGTTGTGCTTTCAAATTTAAGACAATATAAAAAAAGTCATTTTCTGGGCCATCTAGATGATTTCCTTTGAACTTAAGACTGCCACTTAACTTGAGGATCCAAGTTTGCATTTGTGTTTAAAATCTTGCCCAGTGATTACTGGTCACCCCAAATGACAGAATAAGACTGAGGTGCCCTCGTGCCAACAAGTGGCGTGGTAGTTAAGGTGCTCAACTCCCATGTGACTGTCCGCAGTTCTAGTCGCAGACCTGGCAGCTTGCTTTCTCATTTTCTGTCTGTCTGGTGAGTACACATTCCCTATAGCAAATTAAATTTTAAAAAATGATAATAATAATAATAATATTAAATAAACAATTCTTTTTAAAAAAATAAAATTGAGGTACCCTATCATCAAAATGCAACCAACTTACATATTTCATCATGTTTGATTTGAATTCTCTTAGCAATTACAAAAATATATATGCTCTTTCCTGCAATAACATATCTCAACTGAAAAATTGTTTTATATGAGTCTCAGTTTATTTTTTTAAAAATTAATTTAACTTTATTTATTTATTTCAATTTGACCAGAGAGAGTTTGGGGGCGGGGGGGGGGGTGAGAAAGCAAGCTACCAGGTCCAGGATTTGAACTGTGACAGGTCATGTAGGAGTCCAGACCCTTAAATAACATGCCGCCTGCTAGCCCAGAGTCTCAGGGTTTTTTTTTTAAAGAGATTTTTGCCTTAAAGAATGTACACTCCCTGGGAGGGACAAAGGAAGATAGATACTGAGAGGGAAAGTGACAAAAAAACAAAACAAAACAACAAAACCCAGGGGGTATGGCCATGCCATAATCCCTTCTCCTTCATTCTTTCAGGATCTTGGGCATACACGCATACTCACTCACATACTCACTCGACCTAAGTTGACCATATGGGAGTCTAGCAACATAACCACCACGCCAACTGCTGGCCCAAGGCTCAATTATTTAATGAATTTGTGCTTTAAATGGACACCAGTGAAAAAAACATGGTGAGGCATAGTAATGTAATCTTTACTACTGCAAGCCAGTAGGCTAATAATAAGCATATACCACCACATCAACATCAAATAACATCAAAGGAAGCTGTAAGCAGGATTTACAGCCCAGCTGCAATAGCACAGCAGGATGCTGCCATGGCTGAAGCCACTTGAGAGGCCAGATCTGAGCCCCCAGGATTCCTAAGCACACAGCCAGCACAGAAAACATAGTGAGACCCTGTGTGAAAGAGCCAGGCAAATGTTATATGCCTTCAGTCCTGACGACTCAAGAAGGTGAGGCAAAAGTCTCATGGCAAGATCTGGTATTTAACAAAAAAAAATTAAATATCCTAAATCAAAACAACAAAAAAAGTCAAAACACCACACAAACATGCACAAAAAGGACTTACTACAGTTAAAATAGAAAGTCAGAGAATTATTATCAACGCAATATAAGGTAGACTACACCTACTGAAGTACAAGTGCCACTAATCAGTAATGTGTCTTGTGAGTAGCTGTTTATTTTAGAACATTTTATAACATAAAAGTAATGCTCTGGGGACCAGGAGGTGGTACCACAGTGATACAACTGAACCCACATGTTTGACACCTCAGGACGTCTCTGAGCACCTGAGCATGCAAGCACGTCTGTGAGCTGGCTGGCTGAACTGCGCGTGTATCAGTGGGAAGACCCTGAATGGGATGCCTGCCTACCTGTCTGTATCTCTCTCTCTCTTCATCTTTCTCATGGAAGAAATAAGCCAATACACTTAAAACAGATTTTTAAGTAATGCTCTACATTTTAATCTTAGAGCAAAAACTACTCATTTTGCAGTTTTATTTCTAATTATTTACTTTATAAATGTCTTCTAATGTCATGGTTGTATAAGAGAATCTTTAGAGCTAAGGTCTTTTGTAACAACTCTACCTAAAATACACACAGAAGCCTGACATTTCAGACTGTGTTCAGTGCCCACACTACCTCTCCACCTGTATTTCTACTTATGCTCCTTCAGGGATCATGTGCTCTCTTCAAATGACTATTCCCAAAATATAATGATAATAATAAAACAAAGATTATTTTCCTAGTGAACATACTACTGTCTTGACTACTTACAAGATCTTTACTTTTCCTGTCTGCACTCTCTTATAAAATTTCTCCTGTCTTAATCAAAATCAAAGCTCACCATTTCAGATGAACTGAGTAAGCCTTATCTCCCAAATGCTGCACCCACTCTGAGTCTGCTCTCCTCTGGCCCCCAGCAGCCCCTTAGCTAGCAGTCACCACGCTCTGCCTTTCAGACCACTGTCTATCTGGTAATATTAACTCCCTACTTCCCTCTAGGTCTTAGGAAGACAGAACTCTGTCCTCATTCAGTTTTTATTATAAACGGTCTGTTACATAATATTTTTTCAATGAGTATTTTGCCACAGAAGTCTAAAACCTTCATGTATATACCATTTAAAAATATACTAGTGCATTCTTACTAATTTATTTATATCTTATACAAATATATTTGCAATCTGTTTATAGACACAAGCTGTCAGGTCTCATTCTTGATAAATTTCAACTATTTCTTTTAAAAATAGAAGAGCAGAATTAGGTTCAAATAGATTGACCTATTTTTTTACAAGATTAACTTATCCATTCAATAAATTTTTATTGTTTTTAAAAAATTTTAAATGGATACAATAATTGTACATATTTATGGGATGGAGTGTGGGGTTTTTTTTGGTATATGCATACATATCGTGTGTCATGATAAAATCAGGATAATTTGCATATCCATCACTTCAAACATGTCATTACTTTGTGTGGGGACTATTTAAAATCCTCTCCTTTAGCTATACTGAAATACAGAATAAACTGTTCACTATAGTCACACTCCTGTGTAATACAACACTAGAACTCATTGCTACCTAGTTAATTCTGTATCTGCTCAGCAGCATCTCCCTGTCCTGTCTTCTAGCTGTCTCAGCCTCTAATAATCATTATTCTACTCTCTCGTTCTATAAGGTTAATTTTTTTTTAGCATCCACATGTCAATTAGAACATGCAATATTTCTTTTTCAGTACCTGGTTAGTCTATTTAACATAACACCCTCAAGACTTGCCTATGCTGCCTTGAAAGACAGAATTCTATCACTTTTTTTTTAAAGAGAGATTTTTGCTATAGGGCATGTGCGCTCAATGGAGAGACAGAGAAAGACAGAGAGACAGAAGCAAGAAATCACCCCCCAGGAGGGAGGTCATGCCGCAATCCTGTGGCCTGCATTTTCCTCTCAGGATTTTGGAACGCACACACTCATGCGTGAGTTTCAAGTCATTGGGTTCGGGACCCGAACTGCAGTCGGCCATGTGGGAGTCCAGCGATGTAACCATTACGCCATCTGCTGGGCCCCAGAATTTTATTCTTTTTAGTGGCTGAATTGTATTCACTGCATATACAAAGGGTCTTCAAAACATTCATGGAAAATGTGTATTATAGAAAAAAAGGGAATGGTTTCAAATTGTTTTTTGCACCAAAACAAACTTGCACTTTAATTCTACTTTCCCATGAACTTTCTGACATACGTAGCATTGACCATGTTTTCTTTATTCATTCATCTGTTGATTCCGTATCTTGGTTACTGTAAATGGGTGCAGCAGTCTTTTTAACACATTTGTTTCCTTTCCTTTGGAAATATGTCTAGTAGTGGGATTACTGGCTCATAAGGTAGTTTTATTTTTAGCTTTGTGAGAAACCTCCGTACTGTTTTCCATAATGGCTGTACTAGTTTACATTTCCACCAACGGTGTTATGTAAAAGTTCCCTTTTCTCTGCATCTTCATCAGCATTTGCTATTTCTTGTCTTTTTGATAATAGCTATTCTAACTGGGGTATAATTTTTCATTGAAATTTAAATTTGCATTTCCCCAACTCAATGAAGTCGAACATTTTTTCATGCCATATTGGCCAAGATGAATCTATTTTTTATTACAATTTTAAATGACAGAGAAATTTTGAGTGAAGTATAGGAATAGATTAAGAATTGAGGAAGACAGGCCGGTTCTGTGGTGCAATGGGGAAGACGGGCCGGTTCTGTGGTGCAGTGGTAATGCACTGCTCAAGAGAAGTCAGATACCACATGGCAACCAACCATGGTTCAAATCTCCAACCAAGTTAGCCTGAAGTATGCCAGGCACAAATACCAAGCGCCCAATATCTGTCAGGTTGGAGGGCAGGAGGAAGGGCATCATAACATGACCAGATCCTGTGAAAGGTGCTCTTATTTCCCTCTCTCATGTCCACACACATGGCATCATGAATAAAGAAGAAAATGCAGAAGAAAAAATGGATTGGTAGGAGCCATTCATAGCTTTGATGAAGATAGGATAGCTGTATTTCTTCCTAAAATTTTCCCTCCAGTAATTTTAGTATACACAACTCTCATGCAGATAACTAAGTATTTTCATATTTTCCAACTGTGGCTATATCGAAAATATTACTTACTACATCTTCCACCCAAGATATAAAGGATACTTCACCAACAAATTTAACATAGGAAAAATAAATTCACATTATCTGGTCTAACGTTTATTTTAGAAAATAATTAAGGGATGTAAATATTCTAGGAGGATTTGAATTACACCAAAAAATTAAAGAATTGAATATTTAGAATTCTAAATTACAGATATACTTAAAATTATGACAATATTCCATAAATAAAAATTTAAGACATACCTGTCATCCAAAACAATGATAATTTCACCATGTTTAAAGGTGAGTTCATTGTCCTCAACTGCTTCAAAATCATATAAAGCTCTCACTTTGCGTGCAACCTTATTATTTAACTGAATTTCAGCAGATGGATACAAGGATTTTGTTTCTGTGTGTTGCTGTTTCTGCTCTTGCAATGACAATTCAATAGCTAGTTTGAAAATTAAAATGCAAAGAAAAAAATAGCCAAAATTAATTTTGATTTTTAAAAAAGTATAAAAAGAGATATTAGATGACAATGCAGTATTTAGTAAGAACAAGTCAGGTGAATTCTTTTTGTCCACTTAAATTTCTTAGGATGGGACAGGGAATCATGACACTTTTTTTCCCCATCTCTTATTGTCACAGTCTGTCATACACAGAAGCTATTATTTTTATAGTCAACAGATTGTGACATTATGAGTAGCTTTCCATACAGGACAAGTTTGAACATATTTCTGTGTTTGACTCATAACTCTGGCATTAAAGAAAAGATGGAATGCAATCTCTCAAAGGTAGGGCACTAAACAGATATTATTCAAAAAAAATAATGAGTTATATTCTTCTTACATCATGTCATTGTTTTCTTTTGCTTTTCAAACACTACTAGGTTTCAGAGTTGAGGCAGAACTAAAAGTATATCCAGTTTTATCATAATTCTTATTTAATAAAATGTTCTGGCAAGGATATTTTAAGGGACACTAAAATTGCACATGCTTGATCGTTTACCTTTAGCTATGTCTTCATCTTCTTTGTTTTTGTTCGATGACGTACCATTCTTGGTAGCAGCTGTGCTAGTCTGTAAATGTACGAGTAAAATGAACACAACTATCCTTTCAAAGAATACAAGCTCTATAATTACTTGCAGATGGTGATTTTTTTAAAAAAATGCTGATATAACTGAGTTTCATTTAAAGCAAAGTTCTTTATGATAATTTTAAGCAGCTGTTTTCAAAGACCATTAGGTTGTCAAGAAAGTCATGACGTATTTTTCTATGCAAAAATACATCATGACTTTCCCGACAACCCAATAAAATTAAAATACTAGAATTTTCAAGAAAACATTATAAACTCATGAAGGGCACAAACTGGCTTACGTTTTACATAAATCTTTTACATAAGTCTAAGTCCCTGACACAGAACTCCATATATAGGCAGTACTTAAATAATGGGTCACTGGAAAAGTCATGACATATTTCTTTATGCAAAAATGCATGACTTTCCTGACAACCCAATATTTACAGAGCAAATGAATTTGATTTTACTGGTTATGCTTCTTGATCTTAAATATCCAAGATTGCTTTTTTTTTTTAAAGAATTATTTAATTTTGTTTGCTATTATTATTTTTAAAAAATTATTTTGCTTGGGAACCAGCAGTTAGCGTAATGGCTATGTCGCTGGACTCCCACGAGGGGGTTATTTCACATTTTCCTTTTCTTTTCTCTGTCTCTCTGCGTGTCTTTCTTTGGCAATCACACATGTCCTATGGCAAAAATCTGAAAAAAAATGATCAGATGAACAAAAACTTAATGAATTTCCCATCTTTAGATGAGCTCTTCAGAAAATACTGTATCAAATAAATCTTATTCTTGAATAATTCATGGCCCAAAGCTTCTAGACCAAGAATCTCCTGACCTTCATACCCACCCCAAAATTAGGAGAGTAATTGGACCCATCCAGCATATGCCCCTCTCCACCACTAGGGGAATGCATATACAAGCCCCACCTGGAACAAGTCCACACAAAGCTTTTCCTAACCAAAATAAAACACTTGCTTCAGTTATTCCTTGGCAACCTATTTTTCAGGATGCCTCCCTTCTTTGGAGCTCTGTTTTTCCTTCCCTACCCTCAATAAACTTACCACTTTACCATACCTACTCCAAAAAAAAAAAAAGAAAAGAAAAAAAAATTATTTTGCTTAACTTCATATATTTTAATTTGACCAGAGAGGGATAGAGCGAGAGAAAGAGAGAGAAAGAGAAAGAGAGAGAGAGAGAGAGAGGGATAGAGTGAGACAGAGAGAGAGGGAGAGTGAGAAAGCAAGCCACCAGGTCCGGCACTCAAACCACCGTCGGGCATGTGGGAGTCTAGCGCCCTTAACCACCATGCCACCAGCTGACCCCAGTTGTTATTATTTTTTAATTTGACCAGAGGGAGAGAAAGGGAAAGTGAGAAAGCAAGCTGCCAGGTCTGGGACTCAAACCGAGGTTGACCATGTGAGAGTCCAGTGTCTCAACCACCCCACCACTTGCTGGCCCCTATACAAGATCTCTTAGTGAGAGGTGCTCTATTGCTCTAGGTATATAGCTCTGCAAGAAATAACAGCAAGTAGTGATAACAATTACTAAAGAGGAGAGGAGGGCGGACAGAGACAACGGCACAGTTCTGGCAATACATGTGAGGTCCTCTTTTTAGTACACATTGTAGTTGAATGGCAGTGGCTTAACAGGTACAGCAGAGCACAAAGGAAGGTTATACTTAAATTTAACCACACATAAGACAGGTGTCCAGGGCTCTGAACCCTCAATGAGTTCTTTGACACAGATTTCTGTATGCAAAAAAAGATGGAATAAGAAAATGCTTGCTTTTTATTACTTATAAGACTTCTGTTTCAGGCCAGCCCCATAGTTTGGTAGTCAGGTGCTGTGCCAAGGAAGCCAGATCCCATGTGGCCAAATGGGATTCAAATCCCAACCCTTATGTCTTCAGACCAAGCATGCTTGCCTAGGATCCTGAATGGAAGGAGAACTGATGGAGGAAAGCCTGCAGCTTGACCAAGCCCCACTGAGGGGCTATCTTTCTCCCTCTTGCTCACTCTCTCTCACATGCTCATGACTTCTGGCATTAAAAAACAAAAACAAAAACAAAAAACTTTATCTCAGAATCCTACTTTAAACCCTTAGGTCTGCTCAGCTATAAAGCTAGTTTTTGTCTCCTTAATCTACAGCCTATATAATAAAGGAAAATATAGTACCCTTTCATCTCCTTCCTTAGCCCACATCCTTAAATTAACTACAGAACAAAAGGCACTGAGAGCAAAACCCATGATACAGTATTTTACTCTCATAGATCCAAGAAAACCAGCTACTGCAGGAAGGAGTCTGCTATCCTACTAAAGCTATCGCCTATCATCCCAAATGAATTTGTATTCTTAGGGTCCCACCCATCTGAAATGTAAACCATTATCTCTTCAACAAACTACCTTTCTCAATAGTCACTTCTCCCCTAATGTGACCTCTTCACTTCTCTTAACTAATAAAATTCTACTTCACCTTTTTCACTGGTCTAATTTGTAGCTGACTCTCTTTTCTTGGTACTAGGAAAGATAGGATCTAGTCTTTGTAAACCTCATTCACTAGTTGTCATTTAGAATTTAAATTGTTTTACACATACATGGGTATCCTTCAAATTTACCATATAATTTTCAAACATAAGGATTATTTCATATATCTAATCCTTTTGCATGACTCCAGACTTGGAATAGCATTAAATACATTATTTATGTCTGGTTCACTTCTCAAAGTTCTGACACACAGAAGAAATGCACTTAACAATAAGAATGTGTACTCAATGTAAGGCACCACACTAGACAGGCACTTAGAAAGAAGTGAGAAATTATGAAGATATACCATGACTGGCATTTATGTAAGAAAAACACCTTCAAAGCAGTATAGGCTCAACCAGGTCTAAATGAAATTCTCACCTGTGAACTACCTGGAGGAAAAGTAATTCCTTCTTCTTTCATAGATTTAATAGTTGCAGATATCAGACTAAACTGAGGGTCCTTCTGAAATTCTTCTGACCATTCCACCATTAAAGATTTCAGTTTTTCACATACTTTAGGATGACCCTTTTACAGAAAAGACAAAAAGAAAAAAAGACCAAAACCTGTGGTTAAAATAAGTACTTACATTAAATTAACAATGAAAATTGTCATCAAAATTTTCATTCATGGGACCAGCAGTTAACATAATGACTATGTCACTGGACTCCCATGTAGTCAACCGCAGTTTGAGTCCCAGACCCGGTGGATTAAACTCATGCCGGGCGCCTGTGCATGAGTGCCCAAGATCCTGAGAAGAGAATGGAGGAGAAGGGATTGCGGCGTGGCCATCCCCCCCCGGGGGCTGATTTTCTGCTTTCTGTCTCTCTGTCTGTCTCTGTCTGTCTGGTGAGAGCATGCGCCCTATAGCAAAAACCTCTCTGAAAAAAAAGAATTTCATTCATTAAATGAGCACTAACAAAAGTCCAGAAATCCCTAGTCTAGGTGAGAAATTGATAGATGCCTATTTAAGTGTTAAGACAGTGTTGTGTTATGTAAAATCATCCTTTTTGAACATCTATTTCTAGGTGTTATTACGATGACAGTAAATCTTTTATATTTTGAGGTTATTTGTTCTATGTTTTAATATGCTCGATATTCAGTTAAGATTTTTAGATCAACTCAACTATAATTCTGAAATTTTTGCCACTAATAGCATAGAATGGTATTTCAGAGTTTTTGTCTCAAATCACTATAAATTAATTCTATAATGACGACGCCCTATATTGCCCTAAAATAAAGGTCTCCTTTGTTCATCTTTTCTGATGACAATCAGTATAGAATGGTAGTTAGTCTGGAGTCACAAAATCTTAGAACTGACTCTCAGCTATGCCACTTACTAGCTGCATGATCTCGACCAAAGTTACTTAACTTCTCTAAGTCTTCATTTCTGTATTTATAGCATAGTAATGATAAAAGAATCTAACTTCTGAGAAGTTAAGAGGATTAAACACAATCAGTATGTTTAAATGCTTAAAGCAGTGAGGACTAGCCCTCAATAACAATTAGCTATTTGGGGGAAGTCAAGGCACTTGATCACACATGGACAACTGTGCAATTTGAGTCCTGGACTTAGTGGATTAAAAAACCATGCTGGGCGTGTGTATGTGTATGCCCAAAATCCCAACAAAAGACTGGCGGAGAAGGGACTGCAGCATGGTCATGCCCCCTCAGCGGGGGTAATTTCTCCTTATCCCTCTCTGTCTCTCTGGTTAGACAGGCACCCTATGGCAAAAAATCTGAAAAAAAATTTTAAATAACAATTGTTATTTTTAATAGTATATATATCTTGGCCCAGCCACAGTGGCGTGGCAGTAACATACTATGCCAAGGTGCTAGAAGCCATGTGGAAGACAGCATTCTGATCCCAGGACGACCTGTGTATGTGCATTCATGATCCTGGCTGGCTATGAAGGTTCAGGAGACGATCGGAGTGATTCTCCTCGTAAACGTGCCTGTCTCTTCTTTTTCCCTCCCTCTCTCTCATGTGAATAAATAAATGTAACCTGTACATATACTCTGGCAGAGAAAAACAATTTGGGGTTCTACAAATTAAAAAAGAAATCAAACTTCACAACACAAAATTTATTTCATTTCAGTCTAAAAATTATTATACTTATAATACAATAATACAACTTTATGAGCAATGCTAAACAATTTAAATTACACACAATATATGTATTTTTTTTTCTTTTTTGGAGAGGTTTTTGCTATAGAGCACGTATGCTTGCCAGAAAGACAGAGAGACAGAAAGACAGAAAGCGAGAAATCACCCCCCCCGGGGGGGGGATGGCCACACCACAATCCCTTTTCCTCCACTCTCTTCTCAGGATCTTGAGCACACACACACACGTGCCCAGAATTGAGTTAAGCCGCTGGGTCTGGGACTCAAACCATGGTCTACTACATCGGAGTCCAGCGACATAGCCATTATACCAACTGCTAGTCCCGATATATGTATTTTTAAATGACTTAAAGTTTCTTCTCTTTTGGGGCCAGCAGGTGGCATGGTAGTTGAGGGTGCCGGACTCCCATATGGCTGACCCTGGTTTGAATCCTGGACCGATGGCTTGCTTTCTCACTCTGTCCCTCTCTGGTCAAATTATTTATCTATTAAGAAAGAAAGAAAGAGAGAAAGAGAGAAAGAGAGAAAGAGAGAGAGAGAGAAAGAGAGAGAGAGAAAGAGAGAAAGAGAGAGAGAAAGAAAGAGAGAAAGAAAGAGAGAGGAAGAAAGAGAGAAAGAGAGAAAGAGAGAAAAAGAGAAAGAAAGGAGGGAAGGAAGGAAGGAAGGAAGGAAGGAAGGAAGGAAGGAAGGAAAGAAGGAAGGAAGGAAGGAAGGAAGGAAGGAAGGAAGGAAGAAAGGAAAGGAAGAAAGAAAGGAAGAAAGAAAGAAAGAAGGAAGGAAGGAAGGAAGGAAGGAAGGAAGGAAGGAAGGAAAGAGAGAGAGAGAGAAAGAAAGAGAAAGGAGGAAGGGAGGGAGGGAAAGAAAGAAAGGAGAAAGAAAGAAAGAAAAAAGATAGAAAGCAAGCAAGCGTTAAAATTTATTCTCTTTTTAAAATTTACCTTATTTTTTATCACAGCACGTACTTCACTTGCGAAATCACGGGAACATACTTCTAAATGAAATATCTTTCCACAGTTTGCCACACAAGCCCCAAGAAGCTATTAATTAAAATAAAAGTTAATAAACAAATGTTGAAATATTATCTTAAGTTACTGAAATAAACATACATTTAAAACTTGGGTCAAAGTCTGATATGACTTTTACTCACGGTTAATGCCTGCAGAGCAACATGAGGAATCTTGTGATTTACCCTTTTCATTATGGCTTTCAAGCAATCTTTAGCTCTAAGAAAAAAACAAAAAAACAAAAAACAAAAACAGAGAAAGCTAAGTATTTATTGAGAATTACAAACATTAAAAATATAAAACATTCCAAGACGAAGTAACTTTAACATAAAATCCTAGAAACTTCACTTTGTTAAAAATAAAATCTAGGGACCAGCAGTCAGTGTAATGGCTATGTCACTGGACTCCCACGTAGTCGACCCTGGTTTGAGTCCCAGACCCGGTGGCTTAAAACTCACGCTGGGTGCGTGTGCGTGCGTGCATGCCCAAGATCCCGAGAGGAGAATGGAGGAAAAGGGATTCGGTGTGGCCATCCCCCCCTGGGGGTGATTTCTTGCTTTCTCTCTCTCTGTTTCTCTCCGTCTGTCTGGCAAGCGCACGGGCCCTATGGCAAAAACCTCTCCAAAAAAAAAAAATCTATACAATGATTTTATAGTCTTTTGTTCATGGAACTGTAGAACTTATAAGAAAAAAGCTTCTTGCAAATGTTGCACATTCCAAAATCAAAAGACAAATCATTTCACAAAAGGTCACTCAACACAAGAGAATTGTATCATACAAACTATCTTTTCATTATTTCCTGACAGACTTAGCTTTCACACACTAAATTCTTATCTTGAAAAAAAAACTAGCATGATATCTAGTCCTAAAAGATTCAAGTACAAAGCCAGTACATCACGTAGTTGTTATAGTGCTGAATTCCCACACAGTTTTGGACCCAGCAGCTTGAAAATCATGCCAGGTGAGTTTTTGTACATGTCCAAATTTCAGGAGGAGAAAGGAGAAGGGATTGCGGCATAGCCACCCCTTGGGGGGTGACTCATCACGTTCCCTCTTGCTATCTCTATTTCTCCAGTGAGCACACACACTCTTATAGCAAAAATCTTTTCTTTTTTTTTTTTTTTTTTTTTAAATTTTGGAGAGGTTTTCGCTATAGGGCGCATGTGCTTGCCAGACAGACAGAGAGAGACATAGAGACAGAAAGCGAGAAATCACCCCCCAGGGGGGATGGTCATGCCACAATCCCTTCTCCTCCAGTCTCCTCTCGGGATCTTGGGCATGCACGCACACGCGCCTGGCGTGAGTTTTAAGCCACCAGGTCCGGGACGCGAACTGCGATCGACTACGTGGTAGTCCAGCAACATAGCCATTACGCTAACTGCTGGTTCCCTATAGCAAAAATCTTTAAAAAAAAGAAAAGAAAAAGAAAAAAAAAGTTCAAATATCACTATATGTGAATAAATGCACTATGAAAACTTGTAATTTGGGGAGCCAACAGGTGGCATAGTGGTTAAGGTGCTTGACTTTCACGTGGCTGAGACCACAGCTCGAATTCTAGACCTGGAAGATTGAAACTCATGCTGGGTGTGTGCGCATGTGCGCTCAAAATCCCAAGAAGAGAATGGAGAAAGGACTGTGGCATGGCCAGCTCCCCTGGGGGGTAATTCTTCACTCTCTCTCTCTCTGGCTCTGGCTCTCCAGCAAGCACACATGCCATACAGCAAAATTCTCTAAAAAAATAAACAAATAAAAATTATAAAAAAAAGAAAGAAAAAGAAAAATACACTGGGCATGTATGCAAGTATACTCAAAATCCTGAGAGGAGAGTAGCATAGAAGAGACTGCAGTATGGCTATACCCCTAGGGAGTGATTTCTCACTTTCCCTCTCTTTCTGTCTGTCTCCTGTGAGCACATGCACCTCATAGCAAACTTAAAAAGAAAGTACTCTTTTTAATATTCACTCTTTATTAATTATCATTATACGTACTTATTCATTATTGAAAGGTTTTTTAATTATACTACCTATTACAGCACCATATCATTCCTAAAAGGCTCTCATACATGTCTGAGTCACAGAGAAATCCTGAAATAACTCCACTATGCGTTAACACACGTCCCTGTCGTGCCAATGCCTTAATTACACATGTTCCTATAGCTTGGGTTTTCACTTGAACTCCCTTCCACTTGTTTTTTTTGGGGATACAGTTAATCCCATAAATCTGGTCTCCAATCTCTTTTTACTTTTATTCCCCAAAAGTAAATAGTAAAATCCTATTTTCCTTTCAAAGCTGTATCACAAAAAGAGAAACAAGCTATCAAGGTCCTAGACATTCACTAGATGTGACTGGGCATCTTACCCTTTAGGAGTGCTCCCAACTTTGTCACATATGTCCATGATGAGACTCCAGTCTTCCGTAGTGTTGTACTCATTAGTGGCTTTTTCTATAAGATAACAATAGCACACACAAAAATCAGGGTAAGTCTTATGCAACACTAAAATATTAATTTAGGCACAACAGTTAAGAAACGCTACCCTTTCTCTTGCCAAAGATTAAAAAGAACTGGAAATAAACTTAAGAAGGGGGACTAGCAGTTAGCATAATGGCCATGTCGCTGGACTCCCATGTAGTCGACCGTGGTTCGCGTCCTGGACCCAGTGGCTTAAACTCACGCTGGGCGCGTGTGCGTGTGTGCCCAAGATCCAAAGAGGAGAATGGAGGAGAAGTGATTGCAGTGTGGCCATCCACCCTGGGGGGTGATTTCTCGCTTTCTATCTCTCTCTTGTCTGTCTGGCGAGCGCACGAGCCCTATAGCTAAAAACCTCTCAAAAAATAAAAAATAAAAAAAACTTAAGGTAAAAGTACCTCTACTAATTTATTTTTAATTTGCCAGAAGCCACTTGCACTTCCCAGAGGCAGAGAAAGAGAGAGAGAGAGAGGGAGAGAGAGAGAGAAAGCACCCCCATTTACATGAACTTTTTAAATGTTTTCTTGAAACATAACTCCCATACCAATACAATTCACACATTTGAAGTGTATAATCTGGGACCAGCAGGTGGCATGGTAGTTAACTCACTGGACCCTCACATGGCTGACCTCAGTTTGAGCTCCAGACCTTGAAAATCATGCTGGTAGGGGCTGGGAGGTGGTGTGGTGGTTAAGGATGCTGGACTCCCACATGGCCGATCACGGTTCAAGTCCCAGACCTGACAGCTTGCTTTTTCACTTTCCCTCTCTCACGCTCACTCAGTCTCTCTCTGGTCAAATTTAAATAAATAAATAAATGAATGAATAAAGTTAAATAAAACAATTCTTTAAAAAAATAAAAAAGAAGAAGAAAGAAAATCATGCTGGTGCCTGTGCGTGCATGTCCAAAATCCTAGGAGGAGAAGGGATGGTGGCAATGGCCATCTCCCAAGGAGTGATCTCTCACTTTCCCTCTCTGTCTCTACCTCTCTCCAGCAAGTACATCTGTCCTATGGAAAAAAACTAAAAAAAGTACAATTCAATGATTTTAGTATATTCACAAAATTATGCAACTATCAGGATCTAATTTTTTTCAGAGAGATTTCACAGAGAGACAGCCCCCCGGGGGAATGGCCATGCCACAGTCTCTTCTCCTCCAGTCTCCGTTCAGGATTTTGGGGACGCAGGCACATGGGCGTGGTGTGAGTTTTAAGGTTGCAGATCCAGGACTTGAACCATAGCAGACTATGTGGGAGTCTAGCAATGTAACCATTACGCCATCTGCTAGTTCCCCAAGACCTGATTTTAAGAATATTTCATCACCACAAAAAGAAATCCAGACCCATTGGTAGTCTCTGGCCATTCTCCCCCATCTTCCCAACCCCTAGGCAACCACTTATCTCCTTGGTCTCTAAGGGTTCACCAGTTCTGGAGTTTTCATACAAACAGAATCAAACAATGTATGTTCTGTTATGATTGGCTTGTTACTTAGCACAATGTTTTCAACGTCCATCCACATGGTAGTATGAGTTGGCACTTCATTTTACAGGTGAATGATATTTCATTCTATTGATGATATCACATTTTATTTATCCATTCACAATTTATGATCATTTGGATTTTTTGGGGGTGGGAGGAGAGGTTTTCGCTATAGGGCACGTGTGCTCGCCAGACATAGAGAGACAGAGAGACAGAAAGCGAGAAATCACCCCCCAGAGGGGATGGCCACGCCGCAATTGCTTCTCCTCCATTCTCCTCTCGGGATCTTGGGCACGCACGCACACGCACCCCCTGAGTTTTAAGCCACTGGGTCTGGGACGTGAACTGCGGTCAACTACGTGGGAGTCCAGCGACATAGCCATTACGCTAACTGCTGGTCCTATGATCATTTGGATTTTTTAAAAAGTTTCTTTCATAAGCAAGAGACACAGACAGCACAACAGGGTCTCGATGCTGCAGTCTATCCCATCTCAGCCAGCCCTGGGTCACAGGCACGCATGTCGATCAGCATACTCAGAGGGGTCTCTGGACACAAAGGGTGCCATGTTTTACCACCATGGCACTGTTCAATCCCTTAACATTTGGATTAATTTTTCTTTTTTTGAAAGAGATTTTTGCTGTAGGGCCCATGCACTCGCCAGAGAGACAAAAAGCGAGAAATTATCCCCTGGGGGATGGCTAGACTACAATCCCTTCTATTCCAGTCTCCTCTTGGGATTCTGGGCACACACACACACACGTGCCCAGCATGAGTTTGAAGCTGCTAGGTCTGGGACCCAAACCCGAACCACAGTAGACTACATAGGAGTCCAGCAACATAACCATTACGCTATCCGCTAGTCCCAAACATTTGGATTTTAAACAACTTTTGGGCTAACATGAACAATACACTGCTGCTGTGAACATTCATGTGCAAGTTTTTGTGTGGATGTGCTTTAATTTCTCTTTGGTATATATACCTAGGGGCAGAACTGCTGGGTGTTTGTCAACTCTTGCCTAGCTAGGTCAGCCGCATGGGAGTCCAGGGCCTTAACCATCATGCCACCTGCTGGCCCCTATTTTTTTCAATTGGCAAACAGTTTTCAAAGCAGTTATACTATTTTACATTCTCACCAGTATATCTGAATGTTCCAATTAAAGTTTCAAAATATCTAAAAAATGCACTATATTGTTTAGGGATACATAGATAATGTGGTAAAAATATTAACATACATGAAAGAAATAAGCATTAAAATGGAGGAGGGATCAAAACAGGGTAAAGAGGGACTTAATTGTATTTGTAAGATTCTGTTTATTAAGCTGTATAGTGTGTATTTAGAAATTATTTATTTTATTCTCATTTGCCATTTTTTTTCTTTGAGACCTGAAATAGTTTATGAAAAAAGGAAAAATTAGAAAGTCATTTACTGAAAAGCACAATGATAATATAATGAAATTATATAGCTCTTTCACTCTACTTTTATAAAGTTTCAATATACAATATTTTTCCTGCTAATACAGAGAGATGGATATATATAGACACTTTTTAAACCTTCCATATCTTCCCCCTTTTAATAAATCTATTATATAACTTCAAATACATAGCAAAACATTTATATACATGCCAGGTGATATTACAGTAATAAGCAGAAAAGGTCATAGGAATCTAGAGTAGTTTCCTTTTTTTTTTCACTGCAAGGAGCAATCAAAAGAAGTCAGTCAGCACATGGTTTCCAGCTCTGCCGTATGGTATGCTGCTGACTGTGCCACGGAGGCTGGGCCATTATACCAGTATTTTCAATAGCTGTACAATACACCATTACATACTAAGTAGTCATAGTCTCCACACAAGCTAAAAAAAATTTTTTTTTGGAGAGGTGTTTGCTATAGGGTGCATGCGCTCACTAGAGAGACAGAGAGAAAGTGAGAAATCACCCTCCAGGGGGGAAGGCCACGCCGCGCAATCCCTTCTCCTCCATTCTCCTCTCGGGATCTTGGGCACGCATGCACACGTGCTGGGTGTGAGTTTAAGCTTCTGGGTCCAGGACTCGAACTGTGGTCGATTACATGGGAGTCCAGCAACATTGCCATTACACCAACAGCTAGTCTCACAAGATGAAAAATTTTCAGCAATCTGTGGTTCTAAACCATTAAGGGGGCCAGCAAGTGGTATGGTGGCAACCATGGTTTGAGATCCAGGCTTGGAGGCTTGAAAATCATAATCAATCAATCAATCGTTAGAATGAATGACTAAATAAATAAATCCATGAAGTACTCATCTCTTTGTTATATTCTCTGGTATGGTACATATTGATATCCTATATATAGCAAATGTAAAATAGTTAATAGAGGCAGGATTTCGTGTACAAGTCTTTCTGTACACGCTTCATAGCATATTTTATCTTGTTTACTATCTATTTTGCCACCTTCTACCCCTGGAATAAACATAAGCTTCACTATGGCAGGAATTTTTGTTTGTTTTATTCACTATAATATTATTTCTGGTACATAAAATATTATGTAGGGCACATAGTAGGTGCTCAGTAAACATCTGTCGAATGAGTTAATGATGCTATGACACTTTTTTTATACCAAAATGTATCATGGCTTTTCCAACAACCTAACAGTTGCTCCTCCATATCTTGTTACCTTGGTCCAGTTGTAATGTAGAAAACAATAGCAGAGCACATGAACTTTATCTATGATGGTCCAAAGTTTTGGTACCAATTCATTTCATTGCTGAGCAAACATCCAAGATGCATAGGATCAAGTCTCAACAGCAACACCATGTGGCAACAAAAGGCAACAGCACTAGTGGACTTTCAAGGCTCCAATTCTCTGCTTGTTTACTGAAGATGAATGACATCACTTTATAAAGTTTCAACTAGGAGGGACCGACAGGTGGCATAGTGGTTAAGGGACACATGGCCAACTGTGGTTCAAGTCCTGGACCTGGTGGCTTGTTTTCTCACTTTCTCCCTTCTTTCTCACTCTGTCCCTCTGTGGTCAAATTTAAATAAATAAATAAAGTTAAATAAAATAACTCTTTAAAAAGAAAGCAAGTTTCAACTAGGAGAAAAGATGTGAAAAGCAACCCCTCAAAGCAAGGCACAGGACTTTTTATGTACACAAGAGACTCACTTTGTATAAAGAGTCTGAAAAACAAATCATACTTTTTACATATCATGCCAGCTTCATGCTAATCTTTCCTCTTCTTATGATGGCATTTTGTTTTTGCCATGACAGAATCTACCATTCTTTCTTTCCATAGCATCATTTGGCAGTGTTTAATCTACCTGAAGATGAAATATTTGCTGATATTCTTTTTTCATGTATCATTGCCCATTTATTTCATTCAGTGTATCTGGAACCTCACCTACGATATGAGGCAAAATTAGAATTATTATTTTTTTTCAGTTGCTCCCCCATTTAAGAAGTGGTCAGTTCCTCACTGATCTGGAAAGCCAGCATCACCAGTTACCACATCGGTGACTGTGC